CTTCTCTCTTTCTCTTTACACTTATCCCCGCTATTTCCCTATAGTGAAAGATAAATTTCTATATCCAGCATAATGTGTATGTTATTCCTTCTTTGAGCTGTAATGTTCAAGCTGTAATGTTCAAACTTTGAGTTGTAATGAGAGTAATGTTAAAACAATGCTCACCTCCCCATTCTTTCTCTCTATTGTATTTCTCATTTTACCCCCCTTTTTTATATCATCCCATCAAAATCAACTTATACCCACACCCTCTTTCTAGGTATGCTCCTAACTACCTTAATAAAAATACAGTTCTCAAGACTTATAAGTATCACTTTCTCATGTATGGATGCAAACAGTTTAACCTTCTCATATTTTTTTTTCTTTTTATTCTTACCTTGAGTCTTGCATTTGAAGATTGAATTTTATGTTCAGCTTTTTTTTCCCAATCAAGAAAGTTTGGAAGTCTCCTATTTCTTTGAATTTCCACATTTCCCCCTAAAAGATTACACTCAATTTTTCTGGGTAGTTGATTTTGTTTGTAACCCAAGCTCATTTGACTTATGGAATATCATATTCTAAGCCTTCAGATGCTTTATGTAGAAGCTTCTAGATCCTACATAATCCTAACTGTGATTCCACAATATTTAAATTGCTTATGTCTGCATGTTTGCAGTATTTTCTCATTGATCTGATAATTTTGGAATTTGGCTACAATATTCCTTGGAGTTTTCATTTTAGGATGTCTTTCAGGAGGTGATTGGTGGATTCTTTCAATGACTATTTAACTCTCTGGTTCTATGACATCAGGTCAGTTTTCCTTGATGATTCCTTGAAAGATGCTGTCCAGGCTCACCTCTCTCTCTCTCTCTCTCTCTCTCTCTCTCTCTCTTCTCTCTCTCTCTCTCTCTCTCTCTCTGTATGTGTCTGTGTGTGTGTCTGTGTCTGTCTGTCTGTGTATCTCTATATCTGTCTGTCAGTCTGTCTCTCTGTGTGTCTCTCTTTCTCTCTTGATTATGGCTTTCAGGTAGCCTAATGATTCTTAAATTATCTTTCCTGATCATTTATTTTTCCAATGAATATTTTCCAAATTTTCTTTTATTTTTTTCACTCTTTTGATTTCACTGGATTATTTCTTGATGTCTCATAGAATCATTAGCTTCTATTTCCCAATTCTAATTTTTAAGGAATTATTTTCTTCAGTGAGATCTGGTACCTTCTTTTGGCCAATTCTGTTTTTAAAAAGTTGTTAACTTCAGTGGATTTTTTTTCCTATTTGGCCAATTGTATTTTTCATCATGTTGTGAAAAATGAACTATATTTCCCTTCATCCTATCCTGTCTTCCATTTATTTTATTCTCTCTTTTACCCTCCCTCCTCAGAAGTGCTTACTTCTGATTACCCCCTCCCCCAATCTGCCCTCCTGTCTATCATCCCTCTGCTCTTTTAACCCATTCCCCTATTTTCCTGTAGGATAAGACAGATTTCCATACCAAAATTGAGTATGTATGTTATTTCCTCCTTTAACCAAATCTTTGAGAATAAGATTCACTAATTCCCTCTTACCTTTCCCCATTTCCTCTCTACTGTAAAATCCTTTTCTTGTCTTTTTTTATGTGACATAATTTACACCATTCTACCTCTATTTTTCTCTTTCCCCCACTATAATCCTCTCTCACTACTTAGTTTTATTCTCCAGATATAACCCCTTCATCTTCAACTCACCCTGTTCCAACTGTCTATATATCTCTATCTCTATCTATCTATCTATCTATCTATCTATCTATCTATCTATCTATCTATTTTTTTTCCATCCAACTACCCTAATACTGACAAAGGTCTCATGAGTTACTAATATCATCTTTCCATGAAGGAATGTAAACAGTTCAAACTTAATAAATCCCTTATGATTTCTCTTTCTGTTTATCTCTTCATATTTCTCTTCACTCTTGTATTTGAAAGTCAGATTTTCTATTCAGCTCTGGTCTTTTCATCAACAAAGCTTTAAAGTGCTCTATTTCACTGAATGTCTATTTTTCTCCCTGAAGGATTATACTCAGTTTTTCTGGGGAGGTGATTCTTGGTTGTAATCCTATCTCCTTTGCCCTCTGGAATATTATATTCCATGCCCTGCGGTCCTTTAATGCAGAAGCTGCTAAATCTTGTGTTATCCTGATTGTGTTTCCACAGTACTTGAATTGTTTCCTTCTGGCAGCTTGTAAGATTTTCTCCTTGACCTGGGAACTCTGAAATTTGGCTATAATATTCCTAGAAGTTTTCCTTTGGGAATCTCTTTCAGGAGGAGATCTGTCATTCTTTCAATTTCTATTTTGCCCTCTGATTCTACTATATTAGGGCAGTTTTCCTTGATAATTTCTTGAAAGATGATGTCTAGGTTTTTTTTTTTGATCAAGGCTTTCAGATAGTCCAATAATTTTTAAATTCTCTCTCCTGGGTCTATTTTCCAGGTCAGTTGTTTCTCCAATGAGATATTTCACATTGTTTTCTAATTTTTCATTCTTTTGGATTTGTTTTACATTGTCTTGATTTCTCATAAATTCACTAGCTTCCAATTGCTCTATTCTAATATTTGAGGAAATATTTTCTTCAGTAATCTTTTGTACTTCCTTTTCCATTTGGCCAATTTTTCTTTTTAGGGCATTTTTCTCATCATTGGCTTTTTGGGACTCTTTTGCCATTTGGGTTAGGCTATTTTTTAAGGTGTTATTTACTTCAGTATTTTTTTGGGTCTCCTTTAGCACGCTGTTGACTTGTTTTTCATGATTTTCTGGCATCACTCTCATTCCTCTTCCCAGCTTTTCCACCACTTCCCTTACTTCCTTCTCAACATCCTTTTTGAGCTCTTCCAAGGCCTGGGACTGATTCAGATTTTTCTTGGAGGCTTTGGATGTAGGAGCTTTGACGTTTTTGTCTTCTGGTTGTATATTTTGATCTTCTTTTTCACCAAAGTAAGATAATACAGTCTGACTCTTTTTGTGCTGCTTGCTTATGATCCTGGCCAATTACCTGAGTTTTAAACTCTTTGTTAAGGTAAGAGTATGCTTCCAATGTGGAGAATGTACTCTCCCAAGCTTCAGGGGTTTGTACAGCTGTTTTCAGAGATACTTGTAGGGACCTGTAAATTTTCAGTTCTTGTAAGGTGGTATGAGAAGGGGTGAGGTGTTTACTCCTTTTCTGGCCTGTGACCACAAATATTCCTTTCTGTTCAGTAACTGTGAGGAGGGGTTCATCTCCACAGCCACTACAAGCTCCACCACAGCAGTGCTCCTCCTCACCCCAGCACCGCCACCCAGAACTGTGACCCAGATCTGAACACTGGCCAAGCAAGAGATTCCTGCGTCAGCACTGGCAAAGAGATCCCTGCAATCCCTCTCTGATGTACCACTGGGTTCCCCCTCTGTCTGTGGGCCAGAAACTCAGGAAGCAGCTGCCACCCCCAGGGCCATGCTCTTGGGGAATGGAGCTGAGATCCTACCTTCCTCTCTCAGCACTAACAGAAACAGACTTTTCCCACTGGCCTTCTAAGTTGTCTTTGGCATTTGTGGATTGAGGAGTGTGGAAACCTCCACAGCTGCCTGCGATTCAGTCTTCTGAGGCCTACTCCAAGTTTGCTGTGGCCTGCAAACCCACCCCACACTGTGCTGTACACCCAGCCCTGTGTGATATACCTTTCTAATCAACCATCCAGGTTGTCTTGGGCTGGAAATTTGTTTCACCCTGCCTTTTTGTGGGTTCTGCTGCTTCAGAATTTGTTGAGAGCCATTTTTTGTGCGTGTTTAGAGGGGTTTGGGGGAAAGCTCAAGCAAGTCACTGCTTTTATTCTACCATCTTGGCTCCACCCCCTCTAATTGTATTTTTTTAAGGAATTGTTTTCTTCAATCAACTTTTTCTTTTCCTTTTCTAAGCTGTTGACTCTCTCTTGCATACCTCTCATTTCTTTTTTTCCCCCATTTTTTCTTCTGCCTCTTTTGACTTTTAAAATCCTTTCTGAGCTTTTCTAAGAATGCTTTTTGGACTTCAGACCAATTAATATTCCCCTCCAAGGTTTCACCTGTGGGAATTTTTGTGATATTATTCTCATCTATGTTTGTGTTTTGATCTTCCCTGTTGCCATATTAGCATTCTATGGTCAAGGGTTTTTTTATTATTATTATTATATTTTTGGCCTATTTTGTTCCTTTTAAAGTTGATCTCTGACTTCTGGAACCAACATGGCAGAATAAGTAATAAATTTCTCTCATTTTCGCTTATTGACCTCTAAACACACACACACACACACACACACACACACATACATACACACACACACACACACACACAAGAAAATAGGGGCAGCTAGGTTGCACAATGGATACAACACTGGCCCTGGAGTCAAGAGTACCTGAGTCCCAGTCTGGCCTCAGACACTTCACACTACCTGTGTGGCTCTAGGCAAGTCAAGTAATCCTAATTAACTTACCAAAAACAAACAAAAAACAAAGACTACTGACAATATTTACAAAAACAAGTGGCAGCTAGGTGGCACAGAGGATAGAACACTGCCCTGGAGTGAGGAGGATGTGAGTTCAAATCTGGCCTCAGACACTTGCCATTTACTAATTGTGTGACCCTGCACTAATCACTTAAACCCATATCCTAGTGAAACAAACAACACAAAAACAAATCAAAAGAAACACACAAACTAAAAACCAAGAAAATAGTGCCCCAGGAAAACTGCTGGAACAGCACAGACAGTAGAAAGATGAGGTGATGCATTCTTTTAGCTTAGAAAATTTAGAAGATTGCCAAGTAAGTTCTGTCTCACTTGGGTAAAAAGGGAGCACCGTGCAGAATGGGATGCATCCTGGCAAGCCAGAAACAAACCCTGCCTCAGCAAAACAATGGGAGATCCTAAGCCCCAGGATGGTGGAGCAGGCAAGCACCAACACCAGGACCCCCTGCCCCTATGTGCCTTAGCATAGCCTGGGGAATTGGAAGAGTAAAACTTGGAGGACCAACCCATGTATCCGCACAGCCCCAGGCAGGCATCCCATAACAGCAGCCCTTCCTGGGCTTCAGCAAAGCCCCAGGTGGGCAAGCCTCCTCCAGCAGCAGACCTTCATTTGCTTCAGCACACCTCTGGGTCAGGCAGGTATCCTCCAGCAGCAGTCCTACATGCACTTCAGTGCAGCCAAAGGCAGGCAGGTGTCCTCCAGCAACAGACCTCCCCATATTTCCCCCCGGCCCTGACCATGCAGGCTTCCTTTAGCAGCAGACCTCCACGTGCTTCAGCTTACCCCAAGGTGGGCAGGCATGCTCCAGTGGCCAGTGGACCTCCATATGCTTGAGTGGAACCCCAGAGGAATGTATAAAAACCCTACCTGGCCTCAGCACATGCCAGACACTACCACTAGGACCCCAGATCATCACTAGATTAGCTGTCTGACCTCTAAAACCTCCAGCTTCCAGCATCTAAGGCCCCAGCACACAAAGCCAGTGGCCACATTCCTGGTCCCCAGCACGAGAACCTTGGGATAGTGCCTCCTGTGCTCTAGCAAGAGAGCTCAATTTTAAAAGCAAAGAAAGGCAAACAAAACGAGCAAGAAGCAAAAACAGACATTGACCATTAATTAAAATGGTGATAGGGAATATCAAAACACAAATTCAGAATAGGAGAACCTTGTTAATATACATACATCTGAAACCTCAGAGTGGAATACAAATTGGTCTCAAGCCCAAAAATCCTTCTTTGAAGTACTCAAGAAGGATTGTAAAGGTCAAATTAGAAAGTAGAAGAAAAATTTGGAAAATTAATGAGAAGTGTGTAAGAGACAATCAATAGGTTGGAAAAGGAAGGACAAAAATTGACTGAAGAAAACACTTCCTTAAAAATACAATTGGACAAAGGGGAAAAAAGTAGCCATATGAAGAAAACAACCACTTAAAAATACGATCAGCCAAATGGAAAAGGAGGTACAAAAACTAACTAAAGAAAATATTTTCTTAAAGATAAGAATCAGGGGGGGCAGAGCCAAGATGGTGGAGTGAAAGCAGTGACCTGCTTGAGTTCTCCTCCAAACCCCTCCAAATACTCATCAAAAGTGGCTCTAAACAAATTCTGAAGCAGTAGAACCCACAAAAAGACAGAGTGAAACAAATTTCCAGCCCAAGACAACCTGGATGATTGATCTCAAAGGTGTATCGCACCGGGCTGGGAGCACAGGGCAGGACTGGACTCGCAGGACATAGCAAACCTGGAGCAGGCCTCAGAAGACTGAATCATGGGCAGCTGTGGAGGTTTCCTGACTCCTCAATTCACAAATGCCAAAGACAATGTAGAAGGTCAGTGGGAAAAGTCTGTTTCTGTCGGTGCTGAGAAAGGAAGGCTGGATCTCAGTTCCATTACCCAAGAGCATGGCCCTGGGGGTAGCAGCTGCTTCCTGAGCTTCCAGCCCACAGACTGAGGGGGAACCCAGTGGCTTATCAGGTATCTCCTTGCCAGTGCTGAGGCAGCAATCTCTTGCTTTGACTGTGTTTGGATCTGGTTCACAGTTCTGGGTGGTGGTGCTGGGGTGAGGAGGAACGCTGCAGTGGTGGAGCTTGTAGTGGCTGTAGAGATGAACCCCTCCTCACAGTTACTGAACAGAAAGGAGTACTTGTGGTCACAGGCCAGGAAAGGAGCAAACACCTCACCCCTTCTCATACCACCTTGCAAAACTGAAAATTTATAGGTCCCTACAAGTATCTCTGAAAACAGCTATACAAACCCCTGAAGCTTGGGACAGTACATCGTCCACACTGGAAGCAGATTCATACCTTAACAAAGAGTTTAAAACTCAAGTAATTGGCTGGGATCATGAGCAAGCAGCACAAAAATAGTAACACTATATTATCTTACTTTGGTGAAAAAGAAGACCAAAATATACAACCAGAAAAAGACAATGAAGTCAAAGCTTCTTCATCCAAAGTCTCCAAGAAAAATCTGAATCAGTCCCAGGCCCTGGATATTGAGAAGCAGGTAAGGGAAGTAGAGGAAAAACTCAGAGTGATGCAAGAAAATCACAAAAAAACAAGTCAGCAGCTTGCTAAAGGAGACCCAAAAAAATACTGAAGAAAAAAACACCTTAAAAAATAGCCTAACCCAAATGGCAAAAGAGGTCCAAAAAGCCAATGAGGAGAAAAATGCCCGAAAAAGAAAAATTGGCCAAATGGAAAAGGAAGTACAAAAGATTACTGAAGAAAATGCTTCCTTAAAAATTAGAATACAGCAATTGGAAACTAGTGACTTTATGAGAAATCAAGACACTGTAAAACAAATCCAAAAGAGTGAAAAATTAGAAAACAATGTGAAATATCTCATTGAAGAAACAACTGACCTGGAAAATAGATCCAGGAGAGAGAATTTAAAAATTATTGGACTATCTCAAAGACATGATCAAAAAAAGAGCCTAGACATCATCTTTCAAGAAATTATCAGAGTTCTGCTTCCGGGGAGCCAAGATGGCGGAGTGAAAAGGTAGTCCTCTCACTCTCCCCTATCAACCTCTGAAAACCCAGAAAATATCACCCCAGAAAAAAACCCTGGAACACCTGAACTAGAAGAAAGAAGGAGCAGCAGTGCAGCAGCCCAGCAAATGGGTCTCCCAGTGCCTCAGCAAAAATAAGGGACAGGCATAAGTACCCTGCGGCATTCATCTGAAAGGAGGTGAAGAAAACAACCTAAAGGCTTCCTAAAGCCCCGCCTTGCTGATTCCAACCCAACACCAGGTGAGCTGTAGAGCCCTGAAGCCTCCAATTGTGAAGAAATCCTGAAGCCCAGGTGGTAGAGCAGGCAAACACCAACACCTGGACCTCAGTGCCTCAGTGAGGGGGGGAACCAGTGGAAACCAGCTCAGAAAACCACCAGAGTGCCTCGGCACCACCACAAAGGAATCTCCAGTGCATTAGCAGAAACGAGGGAGACAACACTGCAGGGGCCCCAGGCAGATAAACACCTGCAGCACCCATCTAAAAGGAGCTGAAGAAAGCTAAAGGAAAGGAAAAGCAGGCAACCTAGAATTGCCTGAAAGTTCCAGCCTTGCTGATTCTAGCCCAACACGAGGTAAGTTGCCAGAAACCTATAGCCTCCAATTGCCAGCATAAGAGGCCCCAGCACACAAAGCCAGTGACCAAGACCTAGGCTCCCAACACAAGAAGCTTGGGTCAGTGCCCTCTGTTCCCCAGCAGGAGAGCTCAATCTCTTTAAAGGCCAGGGAATAAAGAAACACCATGAGTAAAAAGAAACGTACCATAGATTCATATTATGAGAAGAGTGAAGATCAAGACAGAAATTCTGAAGAGGACAACATTGTCAACAAACCCACATCTGCAACAACAAAAGGGAATATGAACTGGTCTGAAGCCCAAAAAGCCTTCTTAGAAGAGCTCAAGAAGGATTTTAATAGTCAAATGAGAGAGGTAGAAGAGTCCTTCAAAAATACAATTGGCCAATTGGAAAAAAAATACACTGAAGAAAACAAGTCCCTAAAAAACACAATTGGCCATTGAAGAAGGAAGTACAAAAACTAACAGAAGAAAACAATCTGTTAAAAACTAGAATTGGACAAATGGAAACTAATGTCTCTATGAGAGAGCAAGAATCAGTCAAACAGAAACAAAAAAATGAAAAAATAGATGAAAATGTAAAATACCTCATCAGTAAAACAACCGACCTGGAAAATCGACTCAGGAGAGACAATTTAAAAATTATTGGACTACCTGAAAATCATGATGAAAAAAAGAGCCTGGACAGTATCTTTCAGGAAATCATAAAGGAAAACTGCCCAGAAGTCCTAGAACCAGAAGGGAAAATAACCATAGAAAGAATCCACGATCACCACCTGAAAGAGATCCCAAATTGACAACGCCAAGAATATAATAGCAAAATTCCAAAATTACCAGATGAAAGAGAAGGTGCTGCAAGCAGCCAGAAAGAAACAATTTAAATATCATGGAACCACAGTCAGGATTACACAGGACCTTGCAGCTTCTACATTAAAAGCAGGGCATGGAACATGATATTCCATAAGGCAAAGGAGCTTGGAATGCAGCCAAGGATCAATTACCCAGCAAAAATGAGCATCATTTTTCAAGGGAGGATGGATATTCAATGAAATAGGAGACTTCCAAACTTTCCTGATAAAAAGACCAGAGCTCAACAAAAAATTTGATCTTCAAGTACAGGACTCAAGAAGGACTTAAAAAGGTAAATGGGACAGAAAGATACAATATGTTGCTTTAAACCCCTACAAGGGAATATGACTTGCAACCCTTGAGAACTGTATTGTTATTACACCTTGTTAAAGGAGTATACATAAAGAGGGTGGATATTAGTTGACTTTGATGTAATGATAAAAAAAAATCTAATCAAGTGGGTTAAATGGATCCAAATAAGTGGATCAATCTGATCTTAGAAAATGTACTGAGAAAGGAGGAGGCAGACAAGGGTAAATTACATTACAGGAAAAGACACAAAATCCTATTACAGCAGAGAAGGGGGGGGAGCATTGTTTGAACCTTACTCTCATCAGATTTGGCTCAAGAAGGGCATAATATAATCAGTTAGGTATAGAAATCTAACTTGCCCTATAGGCAGTAGGAGGGAAAAGGGGAAAGAAAAGGGAGGGGGAAAGAAAAGGAGGGGGAAAGAAGGGAGGAAGCAGCAGTAAGACTAAAGGGGAAGAAAAGGGAAAGGGATAATAAAAGGGGGAGGGACTGAAGGAGGCGGTGGTCAAAAGCAAAACACTAGTGAAGGGGGAAAGGAAAAAGGAGAAAGAAAAGCATAAATAGGGGGAAAAGGATGGAGAAAAAGACACAGATAGTAATCATAACTGTGAATGTGAATGGGATGAACTCTCCCATAAAACGGAAACGGATTGCAGAATGGAGGAAAAACCATAATCCTACAATATGTTGTTTACAGGAAACACATTAGAAAAAGAGTGACACATACAGGGTAAAGGTAAAAGGCTGGAGCAGAATATATTATGCGTCAGCTGAAGTAAAAAAAGCAGGGGTAGCAATCCTGATCTCAGACAAAGCAAAAGCAAAAATAGATCTAATCAAAAGAGATAAGGAAGGAAACTACATCCTGCTAAAAGGCACCATAGACAATGAAGTAATATCATTACTAAACATATATGCACCAAATGGTATAGCATCCAAATTCTTACAGGAGAAGTTCAGGGAGTTACAGGAAGAAATAGACAGCAAAACTATACTAGTGGGGGACCTGAACCTCCCCTCTCACTAGATAAGTCTAACC